GATTTATTTGTCTATTTCTGAGCCAGAGCCATGCTCTTTTAATTACTATGTGTCTAATTCTCTCTATCACATGTAGTAATGCTGAATTGTTCTTGACTTCATGGCATACATCCCACTTAATTACGTCCCTTAAAAGATGAGTGGATAATTAAATTGTAGCATATCTACACAACAAAATACTATTTGGCAGTAAGAAGGAATGAACTGATACATGTAACAACATGGATGAATCTCAAAAACATGCTAAGTAAGAAGTTAAATAAAAAAAACATATCTTATGATTCCATCTATATAAAACTGTAGAACAGACAAAGGTAATCTATAATGACAAAAAAAAAATCAATGGTTTCCTGGAGTGAAAGAAGTGTTGTATATTTTGATTGGGATGATTGTTTCATGGGTATATACATTTGTTACAATTCCTTGAACTTTATGCTTAAAATGGGTGATCATATGTAAACTATGCTTCAGTTAGTTTTATTAATAAGAAAAAAATCTATGCTATTTTATTGCCACAATCTTGCAGCCAAAAGTTATGCTGTTTACTCCTTAAAACACTTCCATTTGGCTTCCAATGTCACCACTTCATATGCATCCTCTTGCTAAGGTCCCCAGTTACTTCCATCTTGCTAATTGAAAAGGACAGTTTAGTCCTACTTCATTCTAGTAAACTAGAATTTGATGCCACTTATCTACTTCTCCTTGAAGCACTTCCTTGCCTGGGTCCACTGACAGCTCCCTCTCCTCATTCTTTCCTCTCTTGCTTGTATGCTCCTTCTCTTTGGCCTTCTTTGTCAGTGCTCATTCATTGACTGTCCCTGACTGTCAGATACCTCTGGGTTCTCCTCTAAACCCTTTCCTCTTCATTCTCTTCACACCAGGCAATATCATTCACTCTCGTGGCATACATAACCAAATTTATAACTCCTCCCAGTCCTCTCTTCTGAGCTCTACATCCATGCATTCAACTGCCTACATGATGTTTCCTTCTGGAAGACCCCATGTTCATGATTAAACTCCTAACTTTCTCACCAGAAATGCTCTTTTTCTGCCTCATCATAGTAGCAGCATGTCCATTAACTCATTGCTAGAAAGCTGGAAGAAAACCATGATAATTCATTTTCTTTCAACTTCCACAATTTACCTACTGCTAAGTGCTGCTTCCAAATAGTTCTTGATATCCACCTTCACTGGCCCCTGGTTGAAACCATTCTCATCTCTCACTACTGGAATCCTCAAATTCCCACTCCTGGTTATCCTCCAATCTTTCTTCACCTGGCAGGCAGAGTAAACACTTTTTATGCCAGTTAGTTCATGTCACTGTCTGCTTTAAAACACCTCAATAGCCATGAGGTCATGGCTTTTTTTACTTAGTTTTTTAACCATTTTATTGTCACTGCCTAAAACAGTGTATGGTGCATGGTAGAATGAATGGAATAATTGCACTTAAGATAAAAATCCCCAAGTCCACTTTGCCTTCAGTGCTCCGCATGACCCTGTCTCTCTACACCCTAGCCACATCTCCCTTGCTTTATTTATTAATCTCCAGCCACACCAGGGTTTCTTAACCCTGTGCCTTCACATGTACTCTTCTCTTTTCAGAGAAATACCTACATGCTCCTGGTTTAGCTGTGCCTTGAGGATTCACAACTCTGTTTAATCAGTACATCCAGGGGGAATAGATATCAGAAAACATACACTGATAACTAGATAAGTAAAGACGAGTTAATCACCCAGAATGCCAGTTTACTAAGTACTATAGAAAATGAAACTTCTCAGAATGTTGGTGCTCAATATTTAAAACAACCTCTTGCTTCGCAACAGTGGAGAAGATACCAGCAAAGGCACAGGGTTAGGGTGCCAGCTACCAAATTGGTACCATTGCTAACCAACAGATCAGTTAACCAAATTAATAGTTGGAGAGCTGTCTTATGAACTAGACATAAACTACTGTAGAGCAGGGATCTTGTTTGGTTCATTGTTCTATCTTTAGGGCCTAGTTCAGAGCTTAACACCTAATACATGGTGAAAGAATATTAATGAAATGAGTGAATGAATTTAAAACCAGAACAGAGAGAATTTATTTGAACAATTTTAAGAGATATTCCATGCTATTGTCATGATACAATGAAAGTATCTGTGAACCTTGAATATGGAGAAACTTACCTATTCTAGATTAACAGTATTTTTGGAGTTAACATACTTTAAAAAAAACCCATAATGATTGAAAAACACTAATTTTTGAAAATTAGTTCAGCATGCAACAACAGCAAGTAATGCAGGACATAATGAGTTTAAAAAGCATGTAAGTCCTTACCTTTTAATATATCATATGAAAACAATTTAAAAATTTAAATATCTACTGTTTTTCCATAATAGAAAACATCTGGGTTTACCTGAAAATGGAAAGCGGGGAATCTGACCTGATTTGCTAAATATTTCAGCTAATGTATCAGATTTTGCATAGAAAACTAAAATTTGCAATGAATATTCGTTCTTTGAAAACTGACCTTTAAAAATATTGTGCAATAAAAACATTTAAATTTTTAATTTACCAGGAAGCTTTTATTTGTCTGCTGAAGCAAAGTGTCTTGTTACCAGAATTTGTCATAACAGATTTAGAAAATGAGGGAAGGTCTGGTACAAGAGCCCTTTGAAAACCTGTTCAATAACATTCTCTTGTTCTTGCTATGCATTGCTTTTTTTAAGTTGTTTCTCCTGTGTACTAGAAAACCACCGTTGTTCCATGACACATATGAGATTTTACACTACAAGTTATCCCTTTGGCAGAGTAATTTTGGACTGATTGATTTCCTCCACACTGCTCTATCCACACCCTGTTGGTGGGGCTCTTAGCACAGCAGCTACTTTTATTTTTTTCAGATCAGAAAGTGTCTGCTGTAGTAATTCTGTATATGTATTTAGAACCCTGAATTTAGATGAAGAAATGCTTTTATACTTTATAATCTGTACATGTTTATGAGCCATCAGTCTCTCCAAGGTTGAAATATAACAGATCCTTCTTTAGTCCTGAACTGTTTTTTTAAAATGAAAAATTTGTCCTCTAGTATATTTCTTATCCCCAGCAAGATGTATAATTTTTTGTAAAGGTCTCAGCTCTTGGCAGTGACACTGGCAGGGAACAGGGTGCTGAACTTGTGCCATGGGAAAATGATGACTCAGCAGGTTCTATTGAATGCCATTTACCTCCTGTTCCCAAGAAATTCCTGGTTATATTCTGTCTTTTCAAGAGCAAGTTTGAGACTGCAAGATTAATGAAGACTGCATTTTAATTGGCTGGGATTCACAGCTAACGATGAAAGCACAACATTAATATCAAAAGACAAGAATTTCTTAGAATAGCTTAGAAGGCATTTCTCAACCCTTTGGATGAGAGTTGATGATGAAACTCAGGTACTTTAGCTCATGATGAATCAGGATGATTTTTGCAGAGCTTTGAGGCACAAGTCCCCATTCTTCTCTGAGAGCCTAGGCAGGTTACTGACTCTCATCTATAGAATGTAGACAGTAATACTTACTTCATGAGGTTGGTGTTAATATAAATCTCATGTATGGAGCACCAGGGCTGGCCCAGTGGCATCCTTCTGGGTTTCAGTGAGTCTATCCTTGTCCTAAACTGGAAGAACAGCTATGGTCAGATGAGAATTCTAGATTATAATGTTCTGATTCATTTCTGAGTAAGGAAGAATTTGGGATGGCAAAAATAGGGCAGTAATTTGTTTAAAGAAACATACCAATGCAGAAACCACATGACATATTTGACTTTATTTTGATTATTTTAAATGCACTCTTGATTTTGTTAATACCTAACCAGATTCCCTTTCTTTCCCTCCTCAAGATGGGCTGCCACTTTTCTTTGGGTAATCTAAAGCAGTGTTTCTGGTATATAAAAACTAAAGATATTTGGAAGCCCGTTCTCCCAATCTGTGACTTCACAAAGTCTGCTGCCTGCAACATTCTTTTTTAATTGTAGCCTTGAAGATAACAAAATGAGAAAGACTCTAGAATTGGAGTCTTACTTTTGCGGACGTTCTCTCAGGCCACTACTTTGGTTTTTTACTTAAGAGGTCATAGTTCACCATTACGAGAATTAGATATTCTCCACATAAATATAAATTGAATTTTAGTTTCTGTTCTGGAATTTATTAGTTGTTTTGATCTTCAACAATTTACTTATAATCCCCGGTCCTATTTCCTCGCATATAAAAAGAATTTAAGCAGAGTCACTTTGAGCCCTATGATTCAGTTTCTACTTGATTAGCACAATTTACTCTAATCATTAAGTCAATTTTAGGATAAGAAGCCAAAAGAGAAGAGCTACAGAATGCAGTGACTATTGCTTTTCTTGTCTTTTCTATAGCTAAAGAGACCCCGGAATATGGTAGGTGCTAGTAAGTATTTTAAGGAAAAAAAGGAGGAAATCTTGCCAACAGAGGTTTTGCTAAAATTTTCTTTGTTCTGTGGAGTCACTCACTACCATCATGGATGTCAGTATTGACAATCCAATAACCCATTTTATAGTCCCGTCTTTTCTGAGATTGGGGAGAAACAAGAAGAGGACTGAGATCAGTCTGGCTGGTGGAATCTTAGGAAACTATTAGCTAGCCCACTAGCTTTGTGGAAGCAAGAAAATGCAGCATTTCAAGCCCCATTCCAATGAGCACATTTGACAAAGGTTTGTATTCATCAAAGAGCTCCCTCCTCCCCCCACCCTGCCCGACATCTTCCACCACAGCATTGCATAAAGCTGTTGTATTGCCATAACAACTTGTATCTCATGGAACTCAAGAACCTTTATCAGAAAACACACAAGGAGCAGGGTAACAGTGAGATCTTTTGTACTCCCTCTTTGCTTAACAGACTATTCTACCACATTTTTCCTTTCTGTAGTTTATAAGACACCTACTTCTCAACAATTTTTGATCCCACATAAACTACATATCAGGTAGGATAAAAGAGAACAAAAAAGGGAGGGCAGGTTATCACCAGGTGGCTCTTTAATAGTTTGAAAACTGGGGCTGTAATAGAATATCAATCCTATAGAACAAAGAGTCAGACACATTGGCCAAGGCAAATTTGTCTTCATAACCTGGGCTCTCAGTTGGAGTGCTCCGCTATATTTCAATTGAAAATCTGTTGTTAAGCCTCCCTTCAACAATCAGTGTCTCTCTGTTATGATTTCCAAAAGTCTATCTATGAAATAAACTACAGTATAATAATGTTTCCCATGGCTATCAGGAGAGTATAGCAATTTCATAGCTTATTACGTTGTCAAGAATCTACATGTGTGATTCATGCATTCAAAAGCAATCACTGAAATAGTTCAGCATTAAAAAGGAAAATGAACACCCATACCCAAGTTAATGGGTGTAAACAGCCAACAGAGTTGACCTTACAAAGGAAATTAAAGATTTGTTTTTGGATGATAGTTTTATTGATAAAGATATACGAAAACTGTCACCATTGAAAGTGCAGGTAATAAATCTTTGAGCATGGCCTTGTATTTCCACAGTCTCTAAGGAGAAGAAAGTCTGCCTAGGAACAGGATGTTAGTCGAGGGATTGTGTCGAATAAAGAAAATGAATGGATGGTCGACCGTGAAATTTTCCTCTGGCATCAGCATGCAGAAGGCGGCGATGCCTGCTGTGGCGCCTGCTGCCTCTGTACCCTCCTCATTCACTTCCACAAAAGACCTGTGGACAATTTTTGATATAAAAATATCTCTGGCTCCAGACATGCCAGACAGATCAGCCTTGCTAGTAAAGAGATCCTCTACACCCAGGCGGGCTAGGTGAGAGTTAAGGTTGTAGCTCTCCTCCAGCTTGAACCTGGGCAAGTGGACATTGACTTCAATGAGAGCCAGACTCTCAGGTTTGGTCCACTCGCGCAGTTTTTCCGAAGTCAATTGTTCCTCGATCTGGAATGAGAATGGGCAAAGAGAAGAGGTGAGAACAATTTCATAGAAGCACGAACTCATATCAGTTGCTAATTAGTTTCCTTCATGTTTTATGCCAAAACAGATTCCATTTGAAGGATTTCATTTCTTTCCAGCAATTGATAATAGAACAGAGCTGTGTTCCAAGCCATCAAGGGCCCAAGCAACAGGGACCTTGGACATCAGATCCATCAACCATCCATGCATCCACCCACCCATTCATCCAGGACTTACTAAGCCCCTAGCCATTGAATTACTACGCTAGGCCATGATAGTTATTATTCTAACTGGTTGAGTGGTGCAAAGAAAATTTTAAAAGTTTTCTTTTATTTATTCGATTCTATTTATTCTGAACTCCACTGATCATTGTGGTTATCTGTGAGCCTCACAGAGCTGAAGTAATCTCTCATAGATTTAGCTCCTAGGTAAAAATAGAAAGGGCCTAGACCCTCATCTAAAATGGGGTCAATAATAGTACCTACCTTACAGCACTATTGTGAGCATTAAATGAGTTCACATACATAAAGTGCTTGGCACATAGCAAGTGCTACATAAATGTCAGCTATCATCATCATGATCATCATCATCATTATTATTATTACTATTGGACTAGAACAGAACCATCATTCCACTTATTCTATTGATGAATATTATTTTTTTCATGAGGCTAGAGAATTTCTTTTATAATCAGAGAAGAGATGAATATGGAAATACAACTGAAATAAAGAACATGTTGATTTTAATATTAGACCCCATCCTGAGAGCAAGTTTGGGTATGGAGAGGGTAGAGAAAAAAACACACAGCAGACTAGAGACACCAAAGAAAAGCCATAATCTTCACAGTTTTGCCTAGTTCTAGCCTAGCAAAAGATGCCATAGCTTTTAAATTATATATAATAGAAACATCATACAAAGTTCATATTAGAAAATAGGCTTAGCTCTCAGTTAACGCATCACATGAGTCTTTTCTATCATGTAGCTATTGAAAATTTAATTCACAATCTATATAAACTATAGTGAAAATGAGCAACATAATAATAGGATTTCATAGTACAAGATGAAACTACACACTATAATATTTTGAAGGTTTTAATTTTAAAACATTTGTTTCAGTAAAACAATCCTCATTTTACTGCACTTTCTTCTAATGTTCATTTAAGAGAGTTTCCATGAGCAGCCACTGACCAGCTGTTACGTTTAGAATAGATCTTTAGATGTTCCCCACCACAACTGCTCACTGACAGTAGATGAAAATTTAAACTTAGGGCTTCAGAGCAGTAAATGTTGGTGGGCTAACTTACAAAGGAATGACAAAGAATTGGAAAGGAGAGTTGAGTAACATCAGTAAACACAAAACAAGTACCAACCAAGAATCGATATATCAAAAGGAAACATGGTGCATTAAGTGTGGGAGCTGTTACCTTCCTCAGACCTGTGGACTCATCCTCAATGTCATCGGGCAGCAGGATAACCATGCTGAGCTCTTTGCCTTGGTAAGGCAGTTCCAGCACACGACACTTAAGGTCTGTGATGTAGCCATATGGAAATTTATTCTTCTGATACATCATTTTCACTGTTTTTGTGTCTTTCTGAACAGTTGAAACAAACAGGTCATTCACATTATTATCTGCATTCTTTTAATGAATAATTTTATACAGTTATATCACCTTACTTTATTCAGTCTGAATGTTGCATTGGTTGTGGCCTTTTTCATGAATTTCTCCTGCCAGTTTCCTTTGAAATAGATGGCATTCACCAGCACAAGTTTAGTCATGTTATCAACCACACCCGCAGCCAACAGTTCTGGAATTTTTCCTAAAAAGATAAAATAAGTTTTTTTTAAAAAAATTCACATATCAGAATTCCAAGTTTGAACTGACATTTGATTAGCACTGGAATGCAATTCAAATGCATACTTTTTATTTAATTTCCTTTAATGTATTTAGGAAAGGCCTACCAGTATGTTTTGACTTTAAATAAACCAACTAAGGGGCATAAGGGCTAAAAAACAGGAAAATTCTCCTTTTTAGTAGTGTATGATAAACAATGAACCTTATTTTGTGAATGGCCATTCTCTTTCAGACATAAAAAATATTCCTTAATGAAAATGTTTTTAGTCACTAGTGAATAAATCACTTCATCAAATCCTCCAAGTGAAAGCTACTGTCACAAGAAAGATTTTCCCAAATATCCAAAAGGTAGGACAGTTACTCCACTGAAACACAATCCCCTCCCTGTGACCACAGAATGGCCATGAATAACTTCTTGTATGGAAGACAGGTGTTCAGTGAGTGCCATGACTCATTCTGTGACTAGGTTAGACAGAGTTGTAGTGGAAAAACAACTGAGAGAGAGTCAGTCCTACCTATCATCCCTGATTGCTTTGAGAAGATGTTGGTAAAAATATTTATGACACAGCACTTTATGAATATTGAGTCACAACTATCAGGATATTCCTTTCTATATGTATATTAAATAATTTGGGCTAGGCTGGATTCTCCTCAAAACTTTATTCCTTATATTCTACATTCAGTGTTAATTTTAATTTTAAAATGTAGTTTTGGGAACTTATGAGGAAAAAAAATTTAGCCACTTCATTTAATTATGTTTAAGTTTCCACTTTGAGGAATTTCTACATTTGAAAGTTGTCTGGCACTGAGCAGAGGCAGGGTTTACCTCCAGGGTTAGGATGAGGGCAGAGAAAAAATGAGAGAATCACGTGCATGTTGAAAAGGTGGAAGGAGGGAAAGAACAACCTGTGCATGACTACATTCTGCCACTCTCTTACCTTCTGTCTGCTCTTTGACCCACTTATTTATCACCTTCCTTGCATCTTCAGAGGCATGCTGAAAATCTACACTGGCCAGTTCAGCACCATACATTTTCTGAGTTGAAGCTAAGAACTCCTTTAAAAAAAAAAAAGAAGAAGAAAGAAAGAAAAATAAAAGAAAAGAAAGAAAGACAATGTCATGAATAACTCCTACTACATACAGAAATGGTTTTCTAAAATCCTTAAAAATGAAAGCAATTGTCCTAAAAGGCATAAATTTCATTGTAACAAAAAAAATCCTAACCCTTATACTTTTTACTTTATGATAAAGAACATATAACATTAAATTTACCACCTTAACCATTTTTAAGTGTATGGCTCAATAGTTTTGGTGTTGTATAAAATTTACCAATTCTTTTCTAACCTTTGCCTAACATTTTCGTCAGCAAATACTGACTGTTCTTGGAAGTAAATTATGGAATTCACCTTGCTTTAGTAAAACAGCCAGGGTCAATCTTTTCACTGTGAAGACTATCAAATGAAACCACATTAATTAATGGGAATACTGTCATATATTTTCATTCTGTATAGTTCTCAATGTTTACAAAAATTAAGACTGACTTTTATGAGTCAATTGTGCTGGAAAAAAAGTCTGCATTGTCTAGTGAGCTTTAGAACATGAGTGCAAAGTACTTACAGGGAGGAAATCATAGGTTTTCTCTCCATATAACCTATTAGCAAGTTTCAGAATATAGGGAGCTCCATGCTTGTTGATATCAGCATTCAGACTCTGAAATCTTGAATGAATCTCCTCAACTGTATCGAAATAAAAAATCTAAAACAAAGAAAATATTATTTCTATAATAATTTGTTTTGAAATTATAAACTGATTCCTTGGCATTTGCTTCCATTAAATTAAATTAACATGTTTTTATTGCTCATTGATGATTCCCAGCCCAATACTTTATCAATTTTTCATCGGATAATAGAGAATCTAAAATTTATAGCTTTGTGAGATATAATGATTACAGAAACTGTTTTAATATCACTTTTGTTACAGTTCCACAAATACGAGTGGTTCATAAGCTAAATATTCATGTCTGCTTTTTTCCAAAGAAAATCATAAATGATATATTCATATGTATATTCTGTAGCAAATAAAATTTTACTGAAAGTTCTCAGAAATAAATAGTAAAAATAAAAATCATCACCTACGCAGGAACACAAAGATATTACAGACTGAAAGAATTTTGTTTTTGTTTTTTTTTTAATTACACTACTAGCATCAGTAACTCACTTATTTAAAAACATCTATAAACTTAACATTTAGCAAAAGTTTAATTGCCCTGTTACAAATCAAGAATCCCTTTATGGTTTTATGAGGTTTGGGCTGGTTCCTTGTTTGAATATCCAAAGAACAAACCTACACAGTGTACAAAGTCCAGTTACTCACTGAGATGTAGAATGTTTAGTTCCTATGATGAATCTGCTTTAATGGAAATGGATGGCGAGGGGGACCTTAAAACTTCTTTGCTGAGGTTAAAGTCCTTGGAAAATCTCAAAATAGAAGCTGATATTACCCCAGAAGAAGCAACTAACAATTAGTACCAGAGGTTAAAAATAAAGGTGTTTTTGAAAACTTTAAAATGCTTTCATATCTGCAGTGATAAAGATGGTTGGTTTTCCATAAATTAAAGTAATAGAAGTTTTGCAGCTGGATCAAGTCAATAAACTTGAATCCAGGTGTGCATCTTCTCTAGTTACAGGTGCCATGTAATTTGTGACTGGTATGTTAGATCTCCACTCTTAGCACTCCTTTCCCCTAGGTTTCAAGGAAAATCAGAGTTCCCCTCTCAGAATCAAAGAACATGTAGCACAGAAATGCCCTCCACACCATCTAAGGACAGGAGGAAGGCAGGGCATTACTGTTTCTTCTCCTGCTGTAAGAGTGACCTCCATAACACCCAGGGCTTGGTCTGGTCCCCGCAGGGGCCTCCTTCTCACACAGAAACTTGGTGCTAGGCACAGGCTAGGCTTTAGGAATACAGAATCACACGATTGCCTGTTCCCTCAAAAATGCACCACCACCAACTTCTCCACTGTGGTTGGTGCATTTCTTATGTGTCATTATGCTCAAAAGTAACATTACATAGCAAGCATTATTTATTAATAGTAGGTCACATGCAAAGTAGAAACTGTAAAATCCTAATCCCCGAGGAAATACTGTCAGATCTGCCCACAGGAAGAGAAAAGAAGCAACACACTGCAGGAGCTTTTGTAGCTTTCTTCACTGCTATATTCTCAGCTAAACATAAAAACGGTACCTGGCACATAGTCTGTGCTCAGTAAAAACTTGATAGTGAATGAAAGCCTTCATAAAAACGGATTGTTTGGGGGGGGGCTTTTCTGAAAGTCTGGCCTCATAATGTATAGTAATTGAACACAGAAATACAGTTTTTAAAACAAACTGTAAGAGCTCAAAGGCACAACTTTTCAGTACAGACTTGCAGGGATACCGGACTATTTTTGTTTCTGCTGACCTTGGACACCTGTGCCGCAGTAGTGCCTCTGGCTCCCAGAAAGATCATGGCCAGTGCTGACGAAATGCTTAAGGGAGAGATGAAGATGTTTCCAGTAGGATTGTTCTCAGTCAAGGTGCGGAAGAGGTCCACCGCGAACCGGGTATTTGCTGTACTCAACTGCTCCATGGTGAAGGCTACAACACAGAACAGAGGCAGGAGCTGCCCACTGACCACACCAGCAAATTAGACAACGAGCATTTCTCCATGTCTTCTTCAACTTGTGCCAACCACCCTGAAACATCCTGGAACTTGCGTTCCCCATTTTTTTAGAAGGGCAAGAACACTTCTTCATGCGCACAAATGTAGGAACTAGGGATAGCTGGCCAAAGAGTCAACAGTGACCCAGATCAGGACCCAGGGTATCCCAAAGGGCTCTGATCTTGCAGACATAGCCAGGACTAGGCCTTTCCTACTAGATTTGGGAGCACACACATTTCCCACCCTTTGGATTCTCCTCTGATTCATTTGGGCAATAAAGTCATTGCCCACATTTACCTGAAATAAGAATGTTTCCGTTAGAAAATCATAGCTACCTATACGCATTAAAGCAAATGCCAGTAAAGTAGACATAATTACCCTCATTGCTGAGATTCAGCTGATAAATGTTTAAGAGAGGTTAAGTGTCCCAAGTCTCATAGCTGGTGTAGGTTATGAGAGTTTGAAAATACAGCACAGGTCCCAAGGGCAGGAGGGGCAGCCCGACAGAGAGAAGGCGACAAATATTCTTTCTGACACGCCAGCGTGGTGTCCGCGAAGGTTAAGCAGCGGACCTTCCACCTCAGTCCAGCTGCCCAGTTACCCATTGTGACTGCTCCTCTCAGAGTCTTAGTTTCCTCACATACAGGCAAGGAATAATAACAGCTGTGCTGGCTGCTTCATGTGTCAGACAATGAATTACTATTGTTGAAAAACAATCTCTAGGATCGCACTGTCCTCCACTCCCTCCCAGAAACCACAGAAAGGAGAAGCGGTTCCGCCCTGGGGTTGCCTGGAAACTGTCGCAAACAGCTCGGGAAAGTGAGTTAGTTCGAGAAGAAAGGAAAATATTCCGATCTCAGGCTTCGGTTCTGCCTCCCAGCCACCATGCCCCCACCTCCTGGCCTTGCGCCTCGGACGCGGTATGGGGGATCCCCGGTCGCCCCCAGGGAGGCGCGCACAAAGGGTGCGGTGGCATCCCGGGCGCGGCTGGGCGGCGCATTAGCAGTCCTGGCGAAAGGTCGGGGACTGCGGTGGCTCCCGGCCATGGAGTGCCGGGGCGGTGCTGGGTGGCCACGGCTGGTGGGTTGCAGCCTGGGACTGCCCGCTCCCGGCCGCCCCACCTCCCTAAAGAGTCCTGGACCCCAGCCTTACCAGCTGCTAAACTGTCTGGGCGGGGCGCGGGACCTGTGAAGAGGTACCCAGCTTGCAAGCCTCACTTTTATAGTTGTAGAAGGGGAGTGGCCCATGGGCACTCGCTGCGGAAGGGGCGGGGGCGGTGCACCGCCTTGGGCTTTCCCCTAGGTGACTTTTGAGAAGTCTGGGTTTGCCAATGAAGCAGGGAAGAGAGCAGACTCCAGGCAGTGCCTTACTGGGGATCCGCACCTTTCTGAGTCTAGACAAACACAGATCTCTGGCAAGGACCTGAGGGCCTATTTCTTATTAAGACGTGAATGAATGAGATGAGATAATGTGTCACCAATTAGAGGACAAACTAGCCCCTGCTGAATCTCATCTATACGTTCAAAAAAAAAATGGAGAGAGGGGGGCGACAGACAGAAAGGAACCTCCAGGATCAGATAAAACAGAATAAGGTCTGTCAATTGATGGCCATTGCCATCAATTTAACACCAACATTTTGGGGCCTGGTGAAAAAGGAAACTTTATTCAGTGCAAACAGCTCAGTTGTGATATAGTATGACTGTGGAACAGCTCAATGGTGTCACAGCTCAATTATGAAGCAGCAAAGCTGCAAGGCAGCTCTGGGGAACTGGCAACCCTCCATGCTTCAGCTGTAGCTGAAATGGACTTCCATTTGAGGCCCATTTCAACTCCATATATTTCAGCTCCATATTTCAGCTCCAGCCAGGAAAATCTAATCTTGAAACTTTAGCAGAAAGGGAAAGTGAGCTCCCTGAGGGGGTGGGGGTGGGGGAGTTGACTTATGCAGAGAGAAGTTCCCAACCCTGTCCCTGATTCATCTCTCCTCATACAAATGAGGACTCCAACTCTTTGCAGTTTGATTGGTCCAAAAGGCACTGTTCTGATTGGTCAGAATGAAGCCACTCTGATTGGTCGGTGAAGGGGCTGATGGGGCCATAGTTGCCAAGCTCTTATTGGATAGGGAAAACTTCAGTCCTATTGACTGAAATACAATTCCAGGAACTCCTTTAGCTTAAATGGCAGGAACACAGTGCAGGCAGGCTGTTCGGTGCAGGCTTCTTCCTCAAGGGCAGTTCGAGTGAGAGGCTCCTATGTAGAAATGGCTGCTAAGCTCTGTTTTTAAAATTTGAGATCAATTAGCCACCAGGAGTCCTTGGTAGGTATCTTTTTTTCTCAGAGTCTGCAGTTCCAAACAACATTCTCGATGTCACTATCTTTAGATACCAAAATGAGTTCAGCCCTGATACTCTGTTCACAGGTAGGTGATGGTTACCCCACTATTTCTGTAGGGGTTTTTTGTTTGTTTGTTTCTGACTTTTAATGCCTGACTATGTAATTTCACCAAAATTTATAGTGCTTGGGGGTCTGAAATAATTCTGCATTCATAACACTTCTCCCTTGTCTTCTTGCAAATTTCAACATGAAATAGAAACAAAGAAAAATCCTAATAGTATGGATAACATAGTGTGAATGGGTCTGTAGATTTTTTTGCTCACTCTGAGAACTTGGTTATAATGAAAAGGGGCAAAAACGATCCAATAATGAGTGGTAAAAATACTCTCCATAATTTAAAAAAGCAGTAAGAGTTTAATAAGTAAGATTGTAGAGTGCTTTCTAGTTTATTAAAATAAAGAAACCAATATTTATTCAAAGCCACTCATAGCTAAATTGAAGTGGTTTGATCAAATTTGGTAACCCCTCTACCATTTCTCACAGAACTAGAGAACCACTCACTAGCTTCTACAAAGAAGTCAATGTGAGAAAATCAAGAACAAGAGGCTGTACTGAGAAGTTAAATTAAAATCTGAGACATAAACCAAGGAAAGAAATGTTCTGAATTTTTATTTTTCTCTTGACATTTTCTATTTGTGCTACCTGGAGTTAGTAATCTGAAGTTAGTAAAACGAAGTCATTTCCTAAATCAATACATATACTATATAAGGTTCAGACAACACTGACCTTTATACATAAACCATCAATCAATACATGTACTATCTAAGATTGAGGCAAAGTAACTACTCTGTTAAATAACAGAGTGTTCTACTTGTGGCTTTAAAATGTAAATGGCTGCTATCAAAGGTCAGAGGTACTCATATACTCCTAATGGCACAGCTGGGTTAGGTATGGTGTTTGGCATATTTACTACACTTGAGCACAAGCTTACCTTATCTCCCACTGAGCAACTTCACTCCTGGGGATATTTCTAACAAAAAATGTGTGTGAGCATATGCCCCGTCCAACAAGTGGTAAATCCTGCCACATCCATCGCGGCCCTGGAAAATAAACCTGAGTAGGAATGGTGGGAGATGAAGAAAAGAAAGAAGACAGAAAGCGGGGATCAGGAGGTCCGTTGCCCACTGATGGTGGACAATGGCAGTTTTATTTTTGCAAGCTGGTTTTATACAAGAACATACTAGTTGGCATAAGCAGTCTCCCTTAGTCATAACAACTGTTTCTTCTACTTTTCCCAAGCCATATCTTATGGCCTTCAGCTTGTTTGCCTGCCTGTGGCTATGTTTATACTTTCTTGTTCTCAGAAGGAGTTCCCTGAGGCAAGATAACCCTTGGTTGCCCTCACAGGTTGCAAGGACCTTTTCAGTTTACAACCTGCTCTCCACATCTCCCCCTTTTCTTTTAATTTGAAGCTGTAATGCATGCAAACCAATTTGAGACTGTGTTAATTGCCCTTGGAAGATTCAGCAGCCAACTGAAAAAGCACAGAAGAATATAAGAAGTAAGTATATAATTTCAGCTAAAATCCAAAGGTATGTTTAAGCATATTCAAAGGATTAAACCCATGTAAACTACCTAATAAGTCTTTAGCTAAATCTTTCGGATTGATTATAATTACTTAACATTTTGAATGTCTATAATTTCTTGATGCAAATTATGCAAATCTAAACTTAAACTGTTATGATGCTAAATACCTTGCAAAAGAAGTTTAACCCTTTGCCAGTTCCATCATGACTGATTATAAATCACGTTAGTCACACAGATTCCCTTATAGGCAGCATGACAGCATAAACTCATCCTTTTTTCTAAGGCCACAACCTCATTTCCAATCTGAACAACAACTGATTCTAGAGCATTTAATTTTACCTCTAATTTTAAGTTAATACCTTCTTGACTTTTCATAGCTATAGACATATTATGGGCTAATTCATTTACAAAATTGGCATTCTGAATGCTTTATGACAATGCGACCACAGCAGTAACTGCTATGGCTACTAAAGACACAAAGACTACTAAACCAGCAATAACCAATCCTATAATTCTTTTATCTCTACTCAAGGCATATTTCATTTCTAACAGAGTTTGAATACCACTATCATCATACCAAGGCTCTTCCAATTTTGTTGGTAACATTATAAAACTTGGTTGATTCAAAAGCAATAGATCTGACCCTTTGTTGTGAGGACTTACACAATTAGTTAGATTACAATTAACAAGATATATTAAGAAGTCCATTCAAAGCAGTTGTTTGTAATTCTCCAATTAGAAAGACATAGAGGGCAGCAACGCAGGCTCAAACCCCATGGCTATGCTTGATGTCCAAATCTGCACTAGATGAGTCAGACAGATTAACAAAGTCCAAGGCTGCAAAGGCACACCACAAGTCCTTTTGAAGCATGGCCACAGGTCTTTTCGAATGTGTCTTTCCCCCTTTTATGATTTTTTTTTTTTATTTATGCGCAGATGATAGTTGTTCATTCGGATGTCTTGAAACTGTCTCTGGAGGACTTGGCACCCAACTGAGAATATACAAAAAAGAATTAACAGCAACAGCACAATACTTAAAAGATACCAGGCAGTATATTAAAAGGGTTGAAACCTCTCAAATCATCTAAAATTTTCTCAGCCAATTTTGCGGGATCTACAATAAAGATTCTACTGTTTTGGATGTCAAGAATATGTTTATGAAGATTAGCCACATCGAGACTGGCATTATTGTCAGTCCATATCCCTTGTAAATGTAATTTAACTTTATTTCAATTCTATTCAGAGGCATCGTAGTCTCTGAATGTGGCCCAATCAAGACCTCAATTTTTCTGCCTCATCCCTACATTATTTCCCTTCAGAGATTTTATTCCCTTAATCTTAAGGAGATGTTGATGGATGAAGGTCTGTCTTCTGTAACTTCTTCAAAGCTGAGATAGGGTTGCAGTCCCTGCCTATTAGGAATAAAAATTTTTCAAAGCCTATTCTAAGGGCCCCAGAGGCAGACAACATGAGGTCATTCCAGCATGTAGAAGTGGTAGGAAGCCTTGTAACCTAGAAGATAGAAACTTAGCAAAAAGGTAGAAAAGACAAATCAAAATTAATAGTATGAAGTTACTTTTTCATGGCAGTTTGTTAATTTAAGGTACACAAAAGTTTCTTGATTCCTTGGGACATGTGGACTTACCTAGTTTCTGGAACAAGAGCTTAAGATCTTCCACGGATTCACAAGAATAGGATATACTTGCCGGTTTATTTTCTGGAGGAACCTGTGAGGACCCATAAGAAACTTGTCAAGGCAACATAAAACACAGAAATTATTTTGATTAAGCATGGAAACCTTGTTTTCTACTCAGAAAACTTTTCTATAACATCAGTAGCAAACTAATTGTTCATTACAACATGGTCTGTATTTGAATGTTTGTTACAACATGGTTTGTATTAGAACCACACTGGAAACCACATAAATGCCCATCAGCAGGTAAATAAATACAACAGAATGGAAATGAACAAACTAAAGCAATACACAAAACATGACTGAATTTCACAAACACCTGTTTAATGAAAGAGCACAGACACAAAAAGCTGTATGGTTTTGGTTATAGAAAGTTCAAAAATAGGCAGAACTAATCCATGGTATTTGAATTCAGGAGATTCTCTTTGGAAAGAAAGTGGGGTTGCAGTTACTGTATTTTTAATTTTTTATATTCTTGATACTCTGGTATTTGGGGCCTTGATAATGGAGAAATTGCCTCTACCAAGGCTAGCTAATTCTTAGAGATAGCCAGTGACTCCCCTGACTCCCCTGTGAGCACATTTTTGATATACAAACCAACCAATTCGATGACCATACTCTCAACTATCTCTCTCCTTTATCAAATTCATACACACCAAACCAATATTCTCCCTGCCCTAAACCATCCCAGCACCAACAACTGTGGTAGTCTGACCCTGCCTGGCCATTTCCTGCTCAAACAAGTTCGTTCCTGACTGCCCATCCTGCCTTCCAAGAACTCTCTGGCTAACATCAGTTTTCTCATAGTTTGCCAGCCAATCGGTGTTCTTCCTTATTTCTGTAGCTGTGTAGGAATGATGAGATTGTATAAACCTGCCTGTTATGTTACAATCAGGGCTCAGCCTTTGGATAAGAATCCGCTGAGCTGGTGCGGGTTAAAATAAATACTGCTTCCTGCTTATAGCCTCAGTGTCCTGTATCTTTGAGAATCCTGCAACATTTTGCGGGACTTGTCCAGGATATGGAGATGGAGGTTTTTGCCTCCCTTGTCTTCGGTGTCTGATCTCCGGGATGCTGGGAGAAGCAGACTTTGCCAGCAGACCTATTGTAGGGGAGGACGATTCTTCCAGTGGACTGTGGCGGCAACTCCAAGAGCACAACAGAACTTATAGAGGCGCAGGAACCAGCCTAGGAACACCGCCCGACTGAATG